CCTACCGGACGGAGCGCGCGGAAGCCTGCAAGGACTCCTTCTACAATCAACGATCCATCTCGCACGTGAAATGTCACGCGCACCAATCGCCAGAGAGATCTGCGGTCACGTTGGGCACAATATCGTTTAAACGTTTTATGACTAGGCTTCATCAATAATGCAACGTGCCCCCTCCTAGCACTTAAAACCTCCTTGCATTTTCCCAATGGTAACGCTTCTCCGTGAGACTTCCTCGGAGCGAGTGGAACTTGGACTGACCAGGCGGTATTGACAGGCAACCCACAACCTCCTCAAAGAAAGCAACGCTACGAACCCTTTCGAGCGCCCACAAAGATGGGTGTCGATAGCCAAGAACGTTGGCGACGCCGTCGAACCCAAAAAGGTGTTTACCGTGCGGTCGGTACGCGAGCGGTGCGACCTGTTGCTTGCATACTTCCAAGCAAATGACGAGGCCAACATAAGAAAGTAGGGATCCCACAACACACTGCAGCCAACCATAGGTCAAGCTGCTGGTCGCACAGTCCTAAAAAAAAAAAAAAGAAAACACGTTCACCAAGGCAACCGGAAAAAGATTCGCGCACTTCGTAGCAAAGCAAGGAGATTCGCGGTGTTGGATTGGCTTGGATTGTTTGAAGCAGTTCGCAGGAGCACATCTAGATGGGGCTGCAAGTCTTTACGTATGCGTTTGCCTTCCGCTATACTAAAAGTGCGCGTTCAACGCGCTCCGTAACGTTACGTCGACAGCTCGCGTGCGTTGTACGCAGTGCTGACGCCGGGGTTCTGTACCCTATTCTAAAACTCTTTATTATTGTACAGAGCGGGACACTGTTAGCGTGAACAAGCGATTGTTAGTTTTCGCTGTTTGTCCCAAAGAATCAAAGGACTCCTATAAATATTATTAGTGTCTTTGAAAGGGCTCATCCGGGCCACTAACGTAAGCGGCAAAATTTTTTTTCCTTCTAATACCATTTCCAAGTAAAATCGAAACATCGTCATTCGTGGTAACGTTGTCGTGCGGTGTACATAGTCCGTTTCTTAGTTACAAATTTTGGGGACCATCTTGAAAGAAACATTTCAAGTGGTTCAAGTAAATATATATTCCGTTGAAGCTTGTCTGAATGTGTTGTATATTTTAAAAGTACGTTGACAAGCAAAAATATTTCACAATATAACTGAAGAGCTCGCCTGCACTTTTTGCATTAATTCCATTAAAATCATTTCAGGACATATTCTTAAGTAGAAAAGGTGCGCAAACCAAGGTTAGAACGATGGGGACTTTTCCCAACGAGGTTGAGATGTGCGTGGCTTTATACCAATAGGTTCAAACGGAACGGGCCCGAACGTAAATGGTGTTTTGGTACGGGTTCAAATAACATGGCCGTTTCGGGAACGGGTCGAAACGGGACAGGTTCAAACGGGAAGGTAGTTTCGGGAATGGGTCGAAACGGGACGGGTTCAAACGGGAAGGTCGTTTCGGGAATGATTCAAAATGGGATGGGTTCAAACGGGAATGGGTCGTTTCGGGCTACACCCTCGGCCCCAAGGCAATCAACTCGGAGAAATGGCTGCCTGTGTCGTTCGTGGTTTCCCGCAGATGGAGCGTTGTGTTTTGTGTCGTTTGCGGACTAAAATACCGTGAGCTTCCCTTTCCTGATGTTAAATGTTTATCTCAGAACTTCAAATGTAAACTTCTGCATACATATCGAAGCCGCATTAGGACAGAATGCCAATGTGGAGACGTCTTCGTCATGTAAAGGAAGCGGGCTGTTTTTGTATTTGTATTCGGCTACATTGAGGCCTGCTACTGGTGAAAAGGACCGAGTTATTCCTCTTGTGTGTCCGTTACGTGCGTAACAACCTCGGTCCCTTGCGTGTGCGTGTCATTTTTGAGACGTGTGACTAAGGGGTAACAATTTCAAGACATAACTTCCGATCAGCTGATCAGCGTCGATTCGTTCTGTATACTTTCGAGATCTACGTGTGAACGTGCGGTAGATAATAGAACCGTTATTTTACAGAACCTGCTACAGCTTCGCGCCAAAAGTGTACGAGTTGTGAGGCACTCCCGTTGTCTCTGTGAAACGAGTTCATTTGTGTGAGTGTATGCATGCTCCATGTGCCTTACTGCAACATACTTGTTGGAGTGTTTGTAAGCGCGCGTAAATTTAAATTCACTTTATGTTAACTATTGCTTTCTTAACGTTGCAGTTGTGGTTCAGATAAATTCATGATAATGTTGTTTTATTGATCTCATGACGCTTCTGCGATCTATTTCAAGCCAAAATAAAGACATTTTAGCGACCTTGAGAATGCGACATACGAAGGCTGGGGTGCAAGGACCACTTTGAAAACTTCACTGCCTCTTTGTTCTGACGCGAATACACTTCTACGCGAAAGCCATCAATCGAGAGATGACGGAGAAGGTGGCAGTAGCAAACAAGAGAGCTCGGGTCGTGTGATCGCCAACTACAGGTATTTTTCAGCCTTCGGGTTTTGTACTCCGGTCGCAATGTTTTTCATGGAAAAATAAAAAAAAATACAAAAAAAAAAAACATTGCACAGTATTCATCTACAATTTTAGACTTGCCAAAGATCTGTTATGGCAAGAAATGAAGGTACAAAACGTCATCTTGTAAGCCCTCAGATGGGAAACGATAAAACGTACAAAACGTATTTTTGGGGTTTTCCTGTGAGAAATATGTGGCAGCGTTTATTATGATAATTGGATGAGGCGCTGACAGCTCATGCGATCCCCTGTTTGCGGACGCTGGTCATAGACAAGATGAGAGACACCAACTATGACATAAATTCTGTTTTACCTTGATATTACATGAGCGTAAAATCACACTGGGAAGTTCGACCCAAAGCTAGGCACCCAATCTTCTATCCGTTGAATTATATAGTAAAATTCGAAGAAATCGTTAGCGTGCATACTTACAATTATGCGACTTCAGCAAAATCTACTTCCAGATACTATATCTTAAAAAGTAGTGCGCAAGGGCCGCCCACGTGTCGCCGACCGCCTGATTTCGCAATGAAAAGCCAACGCCCCGAGCTTGCCCAGAGCTTGCCGGCCTTGCGGACCGGGCAGGCTGCGACGACAGCGCCCCCACGCTCGCGCGAACGGAAGGGACCGTCTTTCCGAAGCGCGACTAATTCGGGGCTTGTCAACTAAGCCCATCTACTAACCATTTGTTTTTATATATATATATTGTGGGAACCACGGTGTTCCCCGCATCCCTATCTAGGCCTAGCTCAGGCAGGCCGTGGGACGTCGCCACGTGGGGGCGCGTCCCGGATGCGAGGGCGAAGCCGTATTCCCTGGTGGGCGGCTTTCCCTCGTCCTTCTCGGGTGATTTGCCTAAGGCACACCCCTCGGGATCACTTGGACGCGTCCGCCCCTCCGGGGAGCCACCTACATCCGACCCACCCTGGGCGCGTCCATTCCCGCAGGCTATATAACACGGCCCTAATCCAACGGGCGGGACTCTCGCTGGGGGAGGCTCTGCTCGACAGAGCCTTCATATCCTTGTCTGATCCTCCCCCTCCGTGATACTGTCAATAGCGGCAGCGCGGACTCCGACCGATGATCCTGTCAAAAGAGACAGCGCCGTCATCTCCAACATTGTTGGCCTTCGGGCAAGCGTGTGGCATCTAAGTCAAATAAACACGTCTTTATCCGGACCAAGGAACCTTCTGTGTTTCTAAGTGGTACCCCCAACAAAAGGGAATCCCACAATATATATAAAGAGGACGCCGTGACTTAAGAATCTTCGATTATTGGCGATTTTGTTTTCATTCGCTCTTTTGTACAGATCTATCTCGTATTCTTTATTCATTTCTACCCACAAACGTTTTCGTCGGGTGCCGCTAACACGGTTCTTAGCTTTTCAATAGCAATAAGGCGTGTGATTCTTTTTTTACTTCTAACGTGTATATTTTTTATAAAAATTTCAAAGTGCAAGCGAGCTTGTGCCTAATGACCACGATTTTTAAGTTTTGAAACCAGAAAGTGGGCTTCAAGATAAATTAGATTGAATAGAAGGAGTGTGATAGAAAAGCGTCTGAAGCTCAGCTGAGTTGAAGACGTTTGTCTGTCACCTTTCTCCTGTTCTTGTAACTTATCTTTAAGTTTTCAGGGTTTAAACACCACGATATCAACATGCTTCTTTTAATCTTGATTCTACGACTGTGGTGTGTTCTACGGTGTTAGTTTAATTACATTGTCTACTGCACATTACCAACGTAAAGCGCTTTTTTTTTGCGCACAGCAAACAGAGCGGCCGCATCATACAAGTGCACATGGCAAACATAGAACCTTGTGATTTTCGTAGACACAGGTAGTAAAATATCAAAATCCTGCGCGTTTCGCTTGTCAATTATTTCTGCGCGCTTCCAACGAGCCCGCATTTTGAAAACAATTTTGGATGGGACACCTACATAGGAGGCTTGTCATCACCGATCGCTACAAAGTATGAATTGGTCCCCCAAGTATGAATTGGTCCCCATTACCTAGGAGGAAAACGAAAATCCAGAATTATAAGTCATCTGGTCATTGGCTTGAAATAGTTTAGAACAGCATATGCTCGTGTACTGCCTTTTCCCAATTATAATCCACAGAGTGTACATGTGCGAAAGTTGACATTTTACGTGGAACGTATTATCGCCACATTAGGCAGATTTTATTTTCTGTTTTTAACGATTGCTTTTTTTATGATTAGACTTCATGTATTTTGTAAATTCAATTAAAGGTTACGCCAGTGATGTTTTCTGTATAATATAAACGTATGCGTGCACTAATAAAGTAGTCATTTTTCGAGGTGTGCTGTATAGGGGAGATTTTACCTGCTAACTGTGCACCGAGTATAAACCCGGATAATGCGGCTTCATTCGAGGCTTTTTTCTGAGGACACATATATAAGCCTCGACTCAAGCGCTTCGTCGATATAATTACGCGGAACCTTATTGCTAACAGGAGAATGAGAATTTCTCGTACTCACAGTCGTGGGAGACGAGGACCAGAGCAAAAGCCAGGGAACGTGCCATCGAAGACGGGCCCGGATTCCGGGTGCGGTTGATGATTCCTAGAAAAGTGTGAATACATTATGAGAATATATATATATATATATATATATAAACGCCATAATTTATTTCGCTTGGTTAAAAAAAAAAAAAGAGATCACTTGGTACTCTATAACTCCTGGCAGCTTACGAAAAGATTGCAGTGGCTCACATTTGCGCTTCTTGCTTTGTGAATTTTATTTTTGTGTACTTATCGATTTATGTCAAAGTATCAATAAAGGCTAAGTGGTAATAAAAAATTTCGGGCACCCCACGCTACGTATTTCTTAGGCTGGCAATGACCCTCAAGTACATGATTACTGAGAGCCCGCCCGACGCAAAACCAGCTTTAAATAATTTTCTCGCAAACGTAATTTCCGGTGAAAAAGGTTTTGGTTTATAAACAGATTTTGAAGTGAAAGTGAAGCAGAAGCGCACGTAAAGGAGGAGAGATTGAATGATCACGCTAGCTTTTGTTCTTGAAATTTCACGGCAACGAAGGCGTATCTTAGCCAGTGGCGTTGCGTGCAAGTATTCTGAAGTCCCAGTAGTGCCAGTAAACATGTGTAAAGCGCAAAACATTCCAAGTGAATATCGTTGCACCACCCCTTTAAAAGGACGCTGGCACCCCCAAAAATGTTTGTCTTTTGCTTTAGTTTCTTATTATTAGATTTAAGAACGTGGCAGGAGACTAACCATTAAAAATCTTGCTGCAGAGTCACCTATATTTTTAATAAAGCCAAAAAAACTCAACAACTCGAAATCGAAACCAAAGCCCGACCACGGAAGCTTTTGTTCGGAAATCACATGGGTACACCAAACCGCGATTTTTTTTTTCCCCTTTTTTTTTGTTTGTGAAGTAACGACGACGACTACGACGAATTTATGCGCACCGTTTGTCGTGCAAATGTTTCGCAGTTATATCCCGTCCCCTCGATGTTTTGGGCTTGAAGGTCGATTGAACGGTACCAGGAACGACAGTTCCGAAGTAGCGGTCCAACGTCCGTTCCAACGTTGGTCCGTCTTGTGCCGCATTCGCGTCGTCCAGCCCACGGTACGTCGCCATATTGAAAGTGACGGGGACATGTACGTCCTGTGATCTGTGCAATATTCATTTTTGATCGACGTATTTGCAGATTCTTGAAGGCCACAAAAATTGGGTTCATAATCTTTTCTATTAGCGTGAAACGTTATTTGGCTAGTTGCTTCAGATTTCGTCAGCGACGTCACAAGACGTCACATTCACGTCACATGACATGACACCAATTCATGTTCCCCGCTAAAATTAGCGAGGAAATTAACGCCCCGTGACCTACAAACCAGGTCAGTTAATCCTTTGAATTTAGCGGTGAAATTGACGTCACGTGACCCGATGGCACGTTGCCTATACGCCAATTCAGTTTCTCCTCTACATTTAAAGGGAACATTAACGTCACGTAACCTGCACTCCACTTCAGTTTCCCCTCTAAATTTAGCGCGATAAATGACGTCACGCAACCGGACGTCACGTGACCTATACACCAATTTAGCTTCCCCGAAACATTTAGCGGGAAATTTACGTTGCGTGACACCGACTGCACATCAAAGTAGCCATGAGGTGCAGCTGCTCCCAGTAGACAAATTCTATCACGCAGCACGCTCGCTCGCCACGAAGAAGAAGCGGTGAGTCCGTCTAAGAACAACCATCAAGTGTACAGATGCCGCCTTTAAATTATCTGATGCAGGGCGCCGTGAACGTAGGCGTCTGGCGTCTGAAAACTAAGAGTATCACTAAACGTTCGGTATGCAAGAACGTTTAAGGTAACCAACATTATTTCCTAGAAACTTGCCATACAATTTTTGTTTTGTTCAGATAATGAATCTGTGTTTTAGGTGACCCATGATTTCGAATATATTGGGTACACATAGCTTAAACGCCACGTGACCATGGCAAACAGAGTGAGCGCGACTAAAACTGCACAATCCTCGACCGACTGCTTTCGCGCGCATATGAAGCGAAATTTCGAGCCGCAAACTGCCTTCTGGTATAGTTGGACTCCTATAGGTCATGTTCAAGTAAAAAACATCGGCGAGCAGAAATACCCTGCCAGTGTACTTTTATGACTAAAACGGGATAAGTATTTCTAATAATAGTTTAGGTTTTACTGAACGCATTAGCGTTATCCCACCACCTATTGTCACCAAAAGCTTAAGAATTGCAGCTGCGTTTCTGAAGTTTTGGATACTATACGAGATGTGATAATTCTTAATGTGTACAAGGCGTGGCGAGTGCTGATGATCACCTCATTATCGCTTCACAGCCAACTAGATTGCGCCTTTACGTAAGTCTAGTGGATAAAAGCGCCAAAGAGCCAATCACGAAGAAGCGTTGTCATAAAAAAAGTCAAGTCCTTTCTCTCTTAAACGGTCAAAAACTCTGCTGAGCGCAAGTTCGTCTGCTCCTTTTGCGGGTATTGTGGTGACGTCAAAAGCCGAGCTCTGATTGGTTCTGATTGAAAAATAGGGGGTAAAGCTCAAGGCAAGCTGCCTTGCGGTCTACCCACCATCCTTTAATCAGAGCCGATCATGCCTCAGCGTTCTGACGTCACCACAATCCCTGCACAAAAAGCATGCGAACCTGCACTCCGCATAGAGAGATTCAGTGAAATTGTACCTGCGTTAAAGGGGTACGGAAACGAAATTCTAGCGCCGATCTTTCTGCAGAAATATGGGCTAGGGACAGGTACCACCTCGGAAATATCGATATCGCGCTGTAAAACACAGGAGAACTAATTTTAAACCTAGTTAACCGATTTCAAATTCACATCTGGTGGATGGTGGGAAGTTCTCGTGACATCACTTATGGCACAGGAGCAGCGCCGTTCTGCGGCAATACGGCGTGCCGACAGAATTCGTCTAGGCCTGATCGCGTTTGCAAAGCCTTGGCAGAGAAAGCCAAAGCGTAGTTGGCCACAGTGAGCTCGTTCTCGTTGCGGCTCTTTGCTGTCTTTGCACGACACGGACCCGAGCATGCTTCTGGCACGGCCGGTATTAGTTGCTGCGAGTCGAGCTGCGAGTCGACGTTAAAAAGGATATGTTTGAACTACGAGAGTGTCAGCAAGAGCCACGCAAATACCTGTTCACACTCGGAGCGGACACGCGCGTTTGATCGAAGTGCTGGATTCGCTCTGTTATAGACCGCGTTTCGGAAAGCGCTTCTGGACCGATCTTTTACGATTGCAACTCGATACTGACATGAAACTCGGCAAAGAAAAGTTGGACCGACATCGCGTAGCTCCTACGAACTGCTATAGCTCGACAGTGACGTAGCGTCGTGCAAGAATAAAAATGGCATACTAATAAAGTGTACATACCGTGTTGCGAAGTTAATCCGTATGGCGTTTATTTGAGCTCTATATCACACAAAACAAGGAGATAGAACCAATGAGAGTCCCTTTTCGACGACAGCGTTTGTCACCGCTGTCTCGGAAAACAAGGAGATCGAGATGACAAGGGGAAAAGATTGACCTCTGAAAATTAGTTCAGGGATCAAACTATTCATCCGGGAAGGGTCCACAAGGGTCACGCGGGCATATTCCATTCAGCAGGCCAGCCGGTAATGACCAGACGGTCTTGGCTAAGGACCGCCGGAGCAACGGTGCGCCGAGTCGGTGTTGCTGCTAGGCCGACTATATTCTGCCGAGCTCGCTTGGTCGGTAGAATCGTGGCCGTCGTAGCTCTTCTCGGGTGTTTGTGGATCCTGCGTTCTTGATCGTCGTGGTCTGTTTCAAGTGCTGCTCTCTTTTTTCTTACTGGTTGAAGACGGGACGCACGAGAAGAGCACTTAGAAAAATAAATGTCCGTTGGTCGTCGCTACCAAGTAACTGAGCGACGCTGTCGGCCATGTTGATTTGATCGTAAAAAGTGCGTAAGACAGCTGCCGAGCTGTCGTAGGTTTCCGTGGTAGCCTCCGCAAAAGTTACGACAATTTCGTTTCGAGAATACGGGTTTTCTCTCAAATTTGTCGTACGCACTTTTTTCGTCGTAAGTTCGCTTTGAGAATCCGGCCTCAGAGCTGGTTTTCTCAGTGGTGCCGTGGTTGCCGACTTGCCGTGGTGCAGCGTGCGTGCAGCCCTTGCACATCTCAAAAGGGCCACGTTGTCACAGGTCGTAAATTGTCGACGCGCCACCAAGTGGCAACGCCCGTAACCACAACAGCCACGCCGTAGCCTTTCCCGTCTGGCACAAGTGACGTCACGAATGCGCCCAATATCCCAAGACGTATCGCGCTCTCCGATGGGTGATTTTTGAGCGCGCGCTCAATCGGGCCCCTCAGGGTGAAAAATATAGCCATCCGTTCAAAATACAAAGGCGTGATTACGATTTACGGATATCATTGATCATATTAAACCTATTTCTAACCATAACCGGTGCATTTCAAGTTTCGCTTCAGTATCCCTTTAAACGGTGCCAGTAGCATTCATTACAAAACAACGACTATCCCTCCACCCCCCCCCCCCCCCCCTCAAACCCCTCTTCGACCCTGATATTGGTGGTGATCCAGTGCCGAAGAACCATGAACTTTGTTGAGCGAGTTATCTGCATAAATAATGCGCCCATTTTAAGTACCTTGGAGAACATGGTTTATATGCAGCGCGATAATTTACTAAATATATTTACGTTGGTAAGGGAACGGATGCTTATATATATTTTTGTTGAAGATATCTTTTTTAATTCCTCCTGGTTATGCTCAAATTACGTTTGATCAAGTGCAGCAAACGCGATCTTCACGCTCAGAACCTGCCATTTGAAAGCGAAGGTTCGTGAACGAAAGAGGAGCTCCTGAGTTTTGAGCCCTTTAATGGACACTGACACCCCCCCCCCCCCCCCCTTCATTTTTTTCCTTTTTTGGCACGCGATTCATTATGGTGTCGGAATACTACTTAGAGTCACGCTTTTTTTTAATAAAGACAAAAAACGAAACTGATCGAAACCGAAACCGAAACTCCCGCACCCCACGGATAAGTGGAGAGGATAGAGCGAA